CTACATCCAAGGCTCTGTCCTGCCTCAGCTTTCCAGAGCCCTTCTTGGCTGACCTGGCTTAGCACCAGCAGATGGTAAGGACTCCAACCAGCACAGCAAGGAAAGGAACGTCCGGAGGTGACCGAAGCCCCCAGAGGGCCCTCTGCCTCCTCCACATGATGAGCTTTACCAAAACCGCAATCAAAAAGATGACAAAAACAAGAAATAGGTCAGGGGATGTAGCTCAGTGGCACCGCACCTGCCTCGAAAGCACAAGGTCCTGAGTTCGATCCCTGGTACCCAACCCCCCCCCCAAAAAAAAACCCAAGAAATAAAATTCACTGGAAATCCCAGCCCTCAAACCAGTGAGTAGGGCGGTACACACTTGTAATTCCAGCATTTAAGAGGCTGAGGCAGGAGGATCCTGTTCTTGGACCGCCTGGGCTACCTAGCAAATTGCAAACCGCCTGGACTACATGGTGAGACCTTGTCTCAGAAGAAATCAACAAAAAATACATAAAAGAAATAAATTTCAAAATCCTACCACTTAAAAAGTTTCATCTGGTGGAAAGTTCTCCCTCTCTGGTCTGATTCTATTTGGAGTGACCACGGGTAACAACTTGTGTCATACTCTGCCCATGCGTCTCCGGGTTTAGCCAGGTGATCTAAACACACATGTATCCAAAACGCCACTGTCCTTCCTACTCTCGCACAATTGGCATGTCTGCCTCTGCATATCTAACTCATTATTCTTCATGGCTGAGTATTATTTCACAGGTTGGATACACTACATAAACTCTTGGATTTAAAACGGGGCAGTGTAGCAACAAACTCATGGGATGTTGAAAATATCAAAGTTGAGTGGGGTGTGGTGGTGCATGCCTGTAATCCCAGGACTCGGAGACGTAGGCAGGAGGACTGTGTGTTCAAACCCAACCTGGGCAAGTTAGGGAGACCCTAATGCTAACCCCTTCCTCAAGAACCCAGAGCCCAAGCAGGACCCCTTCAGGGAATCTTCCTTCTAAACCACTCTATTCTGAGGATTCCCAAGTGAATGCACTTAATTAAGAATGACTTTCCTTGGGTTAGCTTTTCTTATGCCTTTATAGCTGTACTTTGTCCAGTTAAATCTTTTTTTTTCAGTTAAATCTTAAATCCCGGCTTTATTTTAGTTTAGGGTTTTGCAGCTGGATAGGGCAGGGAGCCAGTTTTATTTCTTTTTACAAATGAAGAGTCAGTTGAACCCAGTGATTTTAAATCTGTTATTACTTGCTGTGTTGTAGCTTTTGAGACAGGGTCTTGCCGTGTAGCCCAGGCTGGCCTCGAACTCAGTGATTCTCCTGCCTCAGCCTCCCAAGAGCTAGGATTTTAGGTGTGCGCTACCACGCCCTGCTTAAAATGAAAAAATACAAAAGGGCTGCGGATGTGGATTTGTGTGAAGGTCCTGAACCTCACACATTGTTTGTGGTGGGTATGAAACTTCTAGGAGAAGCCCTGGCCGGGGACCAGAAGTACGATTTCCAATTTGTGTATGGAGACTGTGGCTTTGGCTTTGTTTACTTTCTGGTACAGGGGAGGGAACCCTGGGCTTTCCAACAGAGCTGCAGTCCCAGCCCCACTGTCTGTTTTTTAAAATTTTGAGACAGGGCCACCCTGAGTTGGTACCTTACCCAAGCTGCCCCTGAACGCACAGTCCTCCTGCCTCAGCCCCCATAGTTCTTAAGAGTAGAGCCACCCCTGGCTTCTTGCTACTTTTTGTTGTTTGCTGTTTTGTTGGTAAAGCAGAAGTTTGTAGATTAAACCGTTTTCTCCCCCACCCATCTCTCCTTATTTATAAACTGAGTCCCATCACTAATCCAAGGGCAGTTAGCCGATCATTCAATGAAGGGCTCCCTCTTGGCTATCGGTTTCCTCTGAAGCCTGAGGAGGACTCCGTGAGGTTGTCCTTTAATGGCCTAAGTTCTCAATTCGCTTTAGGCACTTTGAAGCCACCCAAAAACTGGCTTCGTTAGACTCGGTGAGGCTGAGGCAGGAAGATGTCGAGTTCCAGCTCAGCCTAAGAAATTCAGCAACCTGGAGACTGTCCTTATAAAACAAATTAAAGAGGCCTGGGGATGTGGCTCACTGCGAAGGTGCTGGGTTCCATACCCAGAACTGGAAAAAATAAATAAAAAGGTGTCCACACTGCCCAAGTATCTCAAGATTTGTAAGATCTTTCCAGGTTTCTCCCAAGCAGACGAAGAAGGGCATTAGGCAACCTCTCCTCCGACAGCGTTTGTCTCCCCACCAGCACACCGAGGCACCGATAAATAGCCGATGCACGCTTTATCAGGCTGTGACCTTCAAATTCCGGCTCTAATTACTGGCTGCTTGAGGAGCGGAGATGAGAGATTAGGGTTTGCTCTGAGGCAGGGCTGGAGCCGAAGGCCTACTCTTCCTGTTCCTCCTTGCTGCCCTTTGTCCCCCAACCAAGGACAAGTGTCTTCGAGGGCACAGCCGAAGTGAGACAGGGTGCTTTTATTTTTTAATGGTACTGGGGATTGAACTCAGCTCCACTCAGCTACGTCCCCAACTCTTGTTCTCTTTTTATATTTATTTATTTTGGGTGTTTTTGACACTGGGTCTCTAACCCTTCAACTCACAGTGATCCTCCTGCCTCAGCCTCCAGAGTGCTAGGATCACAGGCGTGCACCACTATGCTTAGCCTTATTTTTTTGGTACTGGCGATCGAACTCGGGACCTTGCACTTTCAAGGGAGGTGGCAGAACCACTGAGCTAAATCCCTGGCCCCCTAGCCTTATTTTTTGAGACAGGCTTTCACTAAGTCAATAAATTGACTAGGATTAGGCAAGAGGACCGATATGAAAGGCCAGCCCGAAGTTCATAGTGAGGGACCTTGTGTCAAAAAAAAAGCAAAACCAAAGTAATGGCCAGGGATTTAGCTCAGTGGCGCCCCAATTCCCTTGCAAGCTCTCAAGGTCCGGAGTTCGATCCTTGGTACAAAAATATAAGCGGTAATTAATTGCCCAGGTTAGGCTGGTATTTGTGATGGTCCTGCCTCAGCCTCCCAGAGTGCAGAGATTAAGGGCGTGTGCGGCCACACCCACTGACTAGGACCTTTTAGGTGCACTCACCCACTCCCCTGGTTTGTTTTCAGTCCTCCCGCCAGGCTGGCGCTGTCGGGAGTCCCGTCCCTGTCTCTGTCCCTCCCTGGTAAATAGAAGCCACCTCGGACTCTGCGGGCCTCGGCCGGCCGCACAGCCTCCCGCAGCGGCACGGAGCTGTCCGAGGACGCGGGGAGAGGGGGCGGGACTGGGGCGCCTCGAGCGGTGGTCTGCGCTGTGGGGGCGGGGCGGGGCGGGGCGGCCCCCTGCAGCCAGGGGCCTGGGGAGCTGGAGCCCGGGTCCCCAGAACTGTGGAGGCGCCCCGCGGCCCCGCTTCACACATGCTAATCCGGCCCGGGCCCCTCCAGGGCCAGTTTGCCCAGAAGGAGGCGGGCGGCCTTCCCACTCCAACCCTGGGGGATGGGCCCTCCCCCGAAGGCCCCGGGAGGGGTGGAAGGGAGATTCCCGGCCCTCTGGGTGGGTATTCCCTAGCGCGGGGGACCTGGCCCGGGCCTGGGGCGGCGGCAGGAGCACTGTTTTGTCTTCCTAGTGCTGGAGATGGAACCAAGGGCCTTCCCACACAGTAACATCCCAACTCTTTTACATTTAATTCACTTTTAAGACTGGGTCTCACTGAGTCGTCCAGGCTAGGCTCGAATTTGAGATCCTCCTGCCTCAGCCTCCCAGAGTGCTAGGATGACGGAGACACCAGTCTCTGAAGCAGTAATCTTCATTTTACCGTATCATTACCCAAACGGCTAAGAAAATCTGACGGAAGTGAGGGCTTAGTGGGGGCAGGTGGGAGGGGCAAAAGTGAGTTCGTGGGGGCGGGGTGTTAATTTCCCCGGAAGACTACTACCCCTCCGGTGATGAATAATAGCAATAGCAATAATAAAGGCCGGCACGTATCCTAATGATGGGCTGAGCACTATTCTAAGCGTTTCCGCTACCTCTCACAACGGCCGCTTTAGTAACTCTCCTCGCCATCGCGGAAACTGAGGCGCCAGGCTCTCCTTTACGCCTGACTCCAGCAACCTGGAGTCCAGGTGTCTGAGCCCAGGCGGTGCGCGAACCCGCCTGGCAGGGCTGCAGATTTTGGAGCGGGCCCTGGGAGACGAGGAAGCACGCGGGCTCCCGGAGAGGCTCAGGCTCCGCTTTCTGCTCGGTCTCCGCGAGGTGTCGCTTTCGGCCGAAGAAACGTGAGGCCGGCGCCACCCGTGTCCTTCGCACGTATTCATTTTCAGAGGGGCGCCCCCTCAGCGCGCGACCCTGGACCCCGCCTGGGGTCTCTGGGGTCTCCATCCTTTCGAACCCCGGGTCGCCTTCCCTCGCGAGCCCCTGCCCGCGCAGGCCTCGTGCGACGCGGGGCTGGCGGTCGAGCCGCGTCCTCTCCCCAGAGCGCGCCCGGAGGGATGCACAGTATTTTATTTTTGCTACGCTGAGCGATTGCCAGGCCGGGGGGGGGGGGCCGCTGCCGCGTGCACCGCTTGGCGCGCAAATGGTTCGCGGCGCGCACCGGCTACAAACCCAGGGCTCCAAAAGGGCGGGAGGAGCTCCCCCGGGCTCGCCAGTTTTGCAGCCTCCTCTGCTAAGAAGAAAAGCAAGTGGCTTTTGGCGCGAAAGCCTTGGCGCCTCCCCTGATTTTTATGGAAATCAAGAGGGAGGGGTGGAGCCGCTCGCCGCCTGCCTCGCCCCCTCCCCCTGGCCTGCGCCACAGCCCCCTTCTCTCCCCGCCCCCCGGGTGTGTCAGATTTTTCAGTTAATAATATCCCCTGAGCTTCAAAGCGCAGTCGGTGACAGTCATCTGTCGGTGCGGGGGGCTCCGGGACCGCGTCGGAGCTGAGCGGGCGCAGGGCGCGCGCAGCGCAGCGACGGACCGCGGCCCCCGAGACCCCGCGCGCGGCCCGGGAGGTAAGGAGCGGGGGTCGCGTGCTGCTTCCGAAACGAAACCGGCTTGGGCTCCTGGGCAGCCAGCTCAGCCCCGCGGGCAACCGGGGGAACAGACCCGCCCTAGTCTTTCCCCAGCCTCGCCGGGGAGGAGCCGTGGCTCCGGCGGAAAGCAATGCGCCCTGCGCCGGAGAGGGTCCTGGTTGGGGCCGACGGGGACTCGGTGCATCCCCACCCGAGCTGGGGCTCAGGCCAAAGGGTGGCCCCGAGGAAAGGAAGGAAAAGGGGTGAGGAGGGGCTGCGCAATCTGGGTCACGTCTTGCTAGGGTCGCGGCTGTCCCCGCGCTGTTCCCAGGTCGGGGCTGCGCCTCTCTTGCGCGCTCCCGGGAAGGGGTCGCTGGGGGTCTGATGAAGGGGGTGGGATTGGAGGGATCCAAAATAAGCCGCTGGCAGGATTACCCCTGCAGCTGGTGGTTGCCGGAGGGCGCCCGCAGACACTGGGGGTGCGTCGGGGTGGGGGGGCTGAGGTGTCCGTTGGAGGGAGGTCTGCGTCTGTGGAGTAAGTCTCTGTCTTTGCAAAGTTTGCTACCCCCTGCTAGCGTTTGCACTCGGGAGGTTGCATTTTTACCAAGGGGCGGTGGGAGGGGAGGGCTGAGCCTCCTGATAATACCCTGCTCGGCAGGCGGCTGGGGTTCGCACCCGTGGCGCGGCGGTCCTGCCCTGCAAGCGGGCAGCTCAGAGCTCGGTTCTGCAGCGCCAGCAGCCCCCTCCCCCGACAGGCCTCGTGTGAACGGAACGGCAGTTTGCAAAGTTGCACGGCCACCCCACCCCCTGGCTCCGCACGCCCTTCCCGCCCCGGGTGTAGACAGCTTGTACACAAAAGGAGAGCAAGCGCGGGGCAGGACTTCCTGCACCTCCGGGGGCCCGAGGCGCGCAGAGGGGCGCTCGCGGAGGGCGGTCGGGCTCTCGGCCGGCGCCCCGGCCCACCGCGCCGTGCCTGTCGCCTGCAGGTCTGGGAAGCGACGGAGTCTTCGGGTGCAGTGGGTGCCGCCGCGCCGCCTCTGAACCTCTCCATCCCGAGCGACATGCCGGGCATGATCCGCAAGAACCCTGACCTCGAGTTCGACTCGCTGCAGCCCTGCTTCCTCCCGGACGAGGATGACTTCTACTTCGGCGGCCCCGATTCCACGCCACCGGGCGAGGACATCTGGAAGAAGTTCCAGTTGCTGCCCACGCCGCCGCTGTCGCCCAGCCGCGCGTTCCCGGAGCCCGCGGACTGGGCCACCGAGATGCTGCTGTGCGAGCCCGGCCTGTGGGGCGACCCGGCCGAGGAGGAGGCGTTCGGCCTGGGGGAACTGAGCCGCCTCACCCCGAACCCTGTCATCCTGCAGGATTGCATGTGGAGCGGCTTCTCGGCGCGGGAGAAGCTGGAGCGCGCGGTGAGCGAGAAGCTGCAGCTCGGCCGCGCGGCCCCGTCCCCTGCGCCCACCGTCCCGGGACCCCCGGGCGCGCGCCCCGGAGGCGCCGCCGACTGCGTGGACCCCGCCGTGGTTTTCCCGTTCCGGGCGACGCCCCGCGAGCCCGCGCTCGCTGCCCCGGCTGGGGTTCCCACACCAGGCGAAGCCCCGGTGGTCGCAGGGCTTCCCGCGGTGGCCGCAGGCCCGGGGGCCGCCTCCCCGAGCTCCTCAGTCCGCGCGGACCCCACGGCGGCGCCGAGCACCTCCGGCGAGGACACACTGAGCGACTCGGGTAAGCCCGGCCGCGTCCCCCGCGCGGCTCTCCAGGCCTTTGTTGGCTCTGGGCGCATTGCGCTGTGGCCCGGAGGTCCCCGTCTCGTCCCCAGCTTCAGGGGTCCTCGCTCTGGGCCTCAGCTTGTCCCCCACCCAGGGAATGGGCCTGTGAACGCCGTGGGAAGAGGCTCCGGCGCAGGTCCGAGAAGGGGGTAGGCCCCCCGAAAGACCAGGGCTGTGCAACTCCTATTCTCAGTGCAGGAAGTCGGGGCGACTGCACAGATTACGGCTGCCGGGTTTTTCCTTTTTCGAGAGTGGGCGGGCCCCTCCCCCGCCCTCCGTGGGTGGTGGGCTGTTTACTCCGCGCCGGAGCCCAGCCAGCCGCCTGCTGGCAGGCGGGGTCTGCAGGCCGGGGCACGGTCCCTCCCTAGCTTCCTCCCTCCCACCCCGCAGCTGGCTGCCACTGCTCCCGCGGTCGTGCGGATTCTCCAGGGGCCGCCTCTTTCTAGCGGTCGGGTTGTCTTGCGGCCCTGTTCCTGGCCTGGTTGGAGATCTGAGGCTTTGGGAGGTGAAGGCGAGCAGCCCGGGCAGCCTCTTTAGGAATGCCGGGGTACTGGAAAGGTTCCTCTGTGAGATCCATTGTGTGCGTCTGTCTGTGCAAAGCAAGGGTTAAAGTTAAAACCAAGCCTTTGCCGGAGATCTGGGAGGTGCCGAAGGCTTCCGACTCCTGCCAGCCCTTGTCCTTTGGAGCCGGGGCCGGGGCCTCTGGACCTTGACAGCCGCTGTTTCCACAATGCGTGTGGATAAAAAGCCCCGGTTTGCTGCGCGGGCCCTGCCTGCCGGTCGGGGCTCCCGGAGGAAAGTCGGTGAGGAGCTGCGGCTGCAGGGCTCTGTCCCTTTAATGTCTGCCCCTGACAGCTCGAGGTGAGGAAGCGTTTACTTCCAACAGCTGTCTTCTTGGCAGAAAACCAAAGCCCGGGCTTAAAGGGCCCCGCGGACTGGAGCGGCCTCGCATGTCGACTTTAGAAAAGCCCCACAATTGTTCCGCTTTCCGGCCCGTCAGATGCAGCGCTGGGTGTGATTTGATTTTCATGCTTGCGTTTTAGACGTTTTCTACCCTGGCGGGCCATGGGGCCCGGGAGGCAGGCAGCGGCCTCCTGGGCAGCCCTGGTGACTGGGGGTCCTCTCGACTGGGCGGTGGCCTTGGCATCTTCCGGAGGTGGAATGAGCACTTGGTTAGGGTTGGGGCGCGTGTGACACCTGGGAGAAAATTGACTTGTCTTCCTTGGTGGATGAAGTGGGTCCCCCAGTTTAGGACAGAAAGGCAACTTGGTCGTGTGGAAATAGTCTCCTTCGCGTGGTGTGCTAGTGGGGATTTGCCCCCCCCCCCCGGATTGAATTCAGGACCTTGAGCTTGTGAGGCAGGCACGGTGCCACTGAGCTAAATCGCTTGGCTTCATTGAGACAGCATGTTGCTCTGTAGCCCAGCCCGGCCTCGAACTCAGGGAGATCCTCCTGCCTCAGCCTCTCCAGTGCTGGGATGGCAGCTGTGCTCCACCAGCCCAGCTGCATGGTTACTTATCCATCCCTCGTGGATCACTGGGGAAACTGAGGTGCAGAACGGTTAAGTACTTTGTCCTGTATGGCGCAGTCATCGCCAGGTGCCTTCGATTCTGCAACCTGCTAAAAGCTTTGGTTTGTTTTCATTTTGTGTCCCTGGGGGTGGAACCCAGGGTCTCACCAGGTGCCAGGCAAATGTGGCTCTACCACTGAGCTACACAGCCCCGGCCCCACTGCTGAAGCCCTGGTCTTGGGAAGTATTGTCAGGGGCCGGGGCAGGACAATATATTTCTATAAATATTTACTTGTAAAAAAATTTTGGAATGAAAATGTTCCTTCCTGTCCTTTTTATCTTTTAAAAAAAATTCTTACTTTGTTTCTTGAGTGTTTTTGTTGTCGGTGGTGGTGACTTTTTTGTTCTGTTTTTCTGAGACAGGCTCTTGCTATGTAGTGTAGGCTGGCCTCACAGCGATCCTCCTGTCTCAGCCTCCTGAGTGCTGGGAAGGCAGGTCTGCCTCGCCACGCCCAGCTTATCCATGCTGGTTTCACGAGGTCTAAAAAGAGTCCATCCGAGACGCCGGCTCCCGAGAGCCCGAGTGTGTCCGGGTGCTGAATTCATGCAGGACGAGACTAACCTGCTGCTTTTCCCCAAGATGACGAGGACGACGAGGAGGAAGAGGAGGAGGAGGAGGAGGAGGAGATCGACGTAGTCACCGTGGAGAAGCGGCGCTGCCCGCCCAGCAGCCGGGCGGTCACCACCTTCACGATCACCGTGCGCCCCCGGAGCGCCGCCCCCGGCGCGGGCCGCGCGCCCCCGTGCGAGCTGACCGGCAAGCGCTGCGTCCCCGTCCACCAGCAGCACAACTACGCCGCGCCCTCGCCCTTCGTGGAGAGCGAGGAGCCCCCGCAGAAGAAGCCCAAGGGCGAGCCCGCGCTGCGCCCGCTGCGGAGCGCCGCCCCCGGCAAGCCCAAGAGCGCCAGCCCGCGGAACTCAGACTCGGAGGACAGCGAGCGCCGCCGGAACCACAACATCCTGGAGCGGCAGCGCCGCAACGACCTGCGATCCAGCTTCCTGACGCTCAGGGACCACGTGCCCGAGCTGGTGCGCAACGAGAAGGCCGCCAAGGTGGTCATCCTGAAGAAGGCCACCGAGTACGTGCGCGCCCTGCAGGCCGAGGAGCAGCGGCTGCTGCGGGAGAGGGAGGCGCTGCAGGCCCGGCAGCAGCAGCTGCTGAAGAGGGTGGAGCTCGCCAGGACTTGCTAGGCATCCCTCCGACGGACAGACGGACTGACGACGCTCACTGCCACGTTTTGCACATTTGGACTTTTATTTTAAACATTGTGTTGACGTTAAGAATGTTGGTTTACGGTCTCCAATCAGCCTCCTTTCGAATTTGGATCTGGGTGGGGGCAGGACTTGTGGGGTTCTGCAGGATGTCTAGGAGCCCTCTCCCAGATGCTAGTGGCTCTGGGGGCTCCTCTGCTGTTCATCTTCATGATGTCCGCGACCGTCGGGAGCCCCGGTCTGGGGCTGTCACCGTGGTTCCTTCCAAGTTTCGTTCCTTATTTTTACAATGGTGCTTCAACTCCAGCCGCCAGATGGACGGACGGACGGACGGACGGACGGCGCGATCCGATGCTGTGATCCAGGCTGGGCGTTGTGCGCCCCGGGATACTTGTGTAAATACCGTGGATGCCGCCTTTGTCCTGGGTAGTGGGGCGGCTCTGGCGGCCAGAGGTTCTCGCTGAGTGCTGTAACGATACCTCAGTGTTTGAGGGGCATGTTTTGTATACGAAGCTGATCTTACTCCCCCATCCTGTACTGTATTCATCCCTACACGGCCTGTGTACTTTCGTATGACGCTGATATATAACTAAATTTGATACTTATATTTTCGTATGAAAATGAGTTGTGAAAGTTTTGAGTAGATATTACTTTATCACTTTTTGAAGTAAGAAACTTTTGTAAAGAAATTTACTATATATATGCCTTTTTCCTAGCCTGTTGGTTTTTTTCCTGTTAATGTATTTGTTCATGTTTGGTGCATAGAACTGGGTAAATTGCAAAGTTCTGTGTTGAACTTCTTCAAAATGTATATATTTAGTGCTGCATCTTATAGCACTTTGAAATACCTCATGTTTATGAAAATAAATAGAAATTAAATGACACAACTCAAATGTCTTCCTTAAAGCAGTGACTTAGAGGGAGCACTGTCCACATGGGACTTTGTGGCTTTTTTTTGTTTGGTACTGGGGATCGAACTCGGAACCCTGAGCTTGCGTGTCTACATGTCGGAACCAGAGCTAAATCCCCAGCCCTGTGGCTTTTGTGTTTTGAGACAGGGTCTCTATGTAGCCCAGGCTGGCCTCGAACTCAGTCATCCTCCTGCCTCAGCCTCCCGAGTCCTGGGATTACAGGTGCACATCACTGCGTGGCTACAGACAGGACTTCTGACATTTGTACCACCCTGGCTGGGGGTAGGTAGGGGTCTGGGCTTGGGGAATTCAGCACTTTCGGCTGGTCTTGAACCAGCCCAGGTTCGAAAGGATTGGCCTGCCTCAGCCTCCTGAGTGCTGGGATGACAGGCGTGCATCACCACTGCGGGCCTTGAGGCACTTCCATATTTGCGGTCCTGTATTAAGATGAAAGCTGGTATTTGACACTCGGTATTTGACACTGCTAATATCGGTCCCATCACCAAACAGTGCTGAAATGTTTTCTGTACCAAGGCCTGAACCCAGAGCCTTCCCTTTCACTCTGAGCCCTGGCCCCAGCTCCTTTCTTGGGAGCGCAATCCTCCTGCTGGGCTTCCTGGAGTGCTGGGGTTTTACAGGCCCGCAGCGCCCTGCCTGGTGCTAAACAGTGAACAGACGGATCTGCCCCCCTTCAGCGAAGCCCTTCAGTGAGCTGAGCTGTGGAAGAACTAGTGCCCTGTGGCCTCTGTTTTGGGTCTTGTCTGGCAGGGGCTGCTTGGCCCCGTGGCCACCCATGGAGAGGGTGAGCTCCCTGTCTGGGTGGGAGGGACTGGCCTGCTTCAGCCTGCAGGGTCCGTCCGAGCCTACGTCTCTGGGGGGCAGGCTGCTTGTGCTTGGTGACTTCCGAAGTTTCATTTGATCCCCTGGAGAAACTCGCCCAGGGTCACCTTGCCCACCTGGTCTCGCTGCTGGGACAGATGGGGAACCAGGTATGGTCCGGCCTGGTTTGTGGGAACTGGAGCCCGAGGTCCTCAGGGGCACCTCCACGGTGTCTGATGGGCCGAGGGACAGCCCGCTCTCTGATGTCCCTTTGGGTCCCCAGACTGCAGGCCGGAGCCTTTTTTTGTCCGGTTTTGGCAGTCTTGCCGTGTAGTTCGGGCTGGCCTTGAACTCAGGGCTGGCCTTGAACTCACTACGTTAGCCTCACGCTTGTGATCCTCCTGCCTCAGCCTCCTGGAGTGCTAGGATTATAGGGGTGAGCCCCACTCTGGTACGGTGCTTTTGAGTGGTGCTTTTTTGTGAACTTTGACAGTTGCAGGGGTCTGGCCCTCAGCTGCTCCCCTCTGTTGCCCTGGGCCACGGAAAGGTAGCACCCGGGTCAGGTGAGACAGCGCGGTTGGGAGGAAGCAGGTCAGAAACTGCATTCCTGCCTGCTTTCTTTTTGCCCTGGCTGCCAGGGAGCTCACCAGGTTTCACACCCTTGTGTACCTCCAGTGCCCATCCCTGCTTTTTTCTAGGTGTTTATGGAGTTGTTGGTTTTACCTTGTTAGGTTGGCCACCTTTTTAAATGCTTTTTTTTGTTTGGTACAGGGGATCGAACTCGGGTCCTTGCGCTTGTGGAGCAGGCGGCGAAACTACTGAACTAAATCCCCAGCCCTTTAAATGCTCTTCAATGCTACATAACACTATTTTTACACTTGGTTGTTCATGAATCTGTACTAAAAATATAAAAACTACAGTGACAAATCAAGCATGTGCCTTTCCTGACCCATCTGTGGTGACCTGATTTAACCCTGAATTATCTATCAAGGAATTGTGACAGATCGGTGCCCCCCCATGCCTGGCAGTCACCAGTGTTCACTGGGGGGCCGAGTTCCAGGTGCTCAGGAGACCTCAGGGAGGCAGACGTGAAACTGCCCCCACCTGGCTCCAGCACTGGGGAGGCTGAGACAGGAGGATGGCAGGGAGTTCAAGCCCAGCCACTTAGTGAGGGAGACCCTGTCTCAGAAAGAAGAAAAGGAAAACAGGAAATCCCTTCCGCTTGTGGCCGGAGTGGGCTGGCAGCCTCAAGAGCCGCGTGTCCCCGGCAGTGTGGACTGTGAGTGGCCGGCACTCGGGGACGCTGGGCCTCCCAAGTCCCTGCAGGAGCCGAGGTGTGTGCCTCCTGGTCCCCGGTGGGAGCCCGGAAGCCCTCACCAGTCCCTCTTCCCTCTGAACCCTGACTGTCTGCACACCGGGTCCTTACGGGCTCACAAGTGGAGCACAGAGGATTGAATCAGGCCCCTCGCTGAGCAACATCCCCAGCGTTTTCTTAAATTGTTATTTTTTTTACTTTGAGAGAGGCTCTTGCTAAGCTGCCAGGGTGCCTGGGCTGGTTATTGATTGGCGATTGATTGCCAGAGTGGGAATTGAGCCCCGGGCCTTCCCACTGAGCTACACCCCCAGCCCCCCCTTTTTTTTGGTACCGGGGATTGAACACCGGTCCTTGCGCTTGCTGGGCAGGCAGTGGAACCACTGAGCTAAATCCCCGGCCCTCCCCCAGCCCTTTTAATTCTTTGTATATATGCATTTTTGTTTTGGTACATGGACTTACTAAATTGCTAGATTGCCTGAGCTGTCCTTGAACTCACAATCCTCATGCCTCAGCCTCCTGAAAGCCCTTTGTGTTTTTAAGCCAGGATCTAAATTGCCTAGGCTGAGTGCAGCTTGCGATCCTCCTGCCTCAGCCTACCCAGTGCTGGGATGACAGGCTTGCAGCATTCCTCCAGCCCTCTAGGGTCTCCCCATCCACTGGGTCTCTGCACGGAGCAGAGGTGCAGGCCAGGCAGGCACCCCCCCAACTTGGTCTGGAGCCCCCGCTGCCCGGACTCCAGGGAGGGCCCCGCCCCGGTGGGGTGCCTCACTGCTGGGTGGAGGGCGCATTCCATAGGATGGAAGCCCAGCAGGCACAGAGGGTGGGACCCTCGGCCTTTCAAGGGAGGATTTGCATTCGGATTAGCGGAAAGTGCAGTTAACCCCCAATTAGGGACAGCCTTCCTCAGTCTGCAGTGGAGGTGTCCTTGCTCGGCCTCCTGCAGGGGATGGGTCTGTCATGCTAATGGCCCTGCGGTCACCAGGGGAGGGACCGGGGCAGGGGGAGCGGAGCATTGTGCAATGGGTCCAGGGACACTGGATTCTCCCGCCTCAGCTTCCCAGAATGCTGGGACGACAGGCCTACCCAGGCCGGCGTGAAAAAGAAACAAATTATAGAAGGAGGAAAGACCTTTCCAGGAGTCACTGTCAGGGTTTAGGTAATGCCAGGGCGTTCAGTGGCTCGAGCTGTGGCTTTGCACCATGTCTTTGTACAAGCAGTTGTATCTGCCTGTCCTGCTTATTAAGAGTCATACATCTTGAGGCAGGTGTGGTGGTGCACGCCTGTACTTCCCACCCTCAGGAGGCTGAGGCAGAAGGATCTCAATTTGGAACAACTTAGTGAGACCTTGTCTCAAGATAAATAATAAAAAAGGGGGGGCTGGGGCTGCACCTCCGTGTACAGGCTGGGTCCGATCCCTGGGGCCACACACACACACACACACACACACACACACACACACACGGAAGACATCTACCATCTGCAGCGCCATTTTGTACTTTGTAGCCACAAAATCACAGTTCAGCTTTGGCTAAAAGATTAAATTAAGCTGAATTTCCCTTTCCACTCCAGCAACTCTGCTTCCTACTGCTTCAAGGGGAAGACTATGTCCACACAGAGTAATTGCTCCCAGCTTCTGCCATGGAGCATTTTGGGAACAGCACAGGGGGCTGCCCGGGCCTCCTGTGACTCCTGGACTGAACTCCGGCCTCAGGCCAGGGGCTCGGCCACCTGTGAGGTCTGGGTGAGTGTGAGTGTGCAGGGAACAGCATGAAGCCCGGGCCCTGGGGCCTTCCCTGGGACCCATCCCTGGCTCGGCCTCCACTCTGCCTGGGAGCTGTCACCTTCCCCTGGTTCCTGCTGGACTTTAGAAATGCTATGGACCTGGGCCTGTAGTCCCAGCACTTGAGAGGCTGAGGCAGGAGGATTGTTGTGAGTTCGAGGTCAGCCCAGGCTATAAATAAGAAACGGAGGGACTGGAGGAGGCTTTTAAGGGTTCACTGCCCCTGAAAGCAAGAGTATAAATAATTCTGCAGGGCCCTGGAAGAGCCCTGGGAAGGGAGAAGGAAAGGTAATCAGGCTCAAGTCCAGGATGAAGGTGCCCCAGCAGTGTTGGCCCCGATGCCACAGCATACTCCAGGTTTTCCTTTTTCAGGACCAGGGATTGAACCCAGGGCCTTCCCACTGGTGTGGCGTCCCCAGCCCTTTCTTTTATTTCGGGTCTACGTCTTGCTAAGTTGCACAGGTTGGGCTCCAATTTCATGAACTTCCAATGTTTTTCTTTTTGGTACTGGGGATCGAACTCAGGACCTTTCTCTCGCAAGGCAGGCGGTGGAACCACTGAGCTAAATCCCTGGCTCCTGGGCTCCCATTTGAGATTCTCCTGCCTCAGCCTCCCAGAGCGCTGGGCTCTGAGGCGAGCACCACTGCCAGGCTGCATGCTGCTTTCTGAGAGCTTCCTTGCCGCACATGCAGGCCTGGCGGTGACAGCGCCGGAACACGCCGCTCTGCCCTCCCCTCCCCAAACCCTCACTCTCGCTCAGAGTCCAGTGGGGCGGGGCAGAGAGGGAGGATCAAAGTTGGCCGCTGAAGTGTCCAGAGGGCAGCTGCAGAGCCGGCGCAGCCAGGACAGAGGTCTGCTGAGAGACCTGACACAACTTGGAGGGCTCGGAAACCAGGCAAGAGGGTGGCGGAGAATGACGGAGAATGAGGGTAATGTAGGGTTCAGGGCCTTTTAAAGTATTATTGGAGCCAGACATGGTGGTGCACGTCTGTCATCCCAGCACTTGGAGGCTGAGGCAGGAGGATCTCTGCAAGTTCAAGGCCAGCCTGGGCAGCAGCTTAGTGACCTAGCAACACCCAGT